TTCAGTCAAGAAAGAGAGCAAGGAGAGTTAGGTGATCTCTTGGAAAAATCACCATTAGGGCGCCAAGATAGGTTCATCAAGAGCAAGGAGGAACAAAGGAAAACAGGAGGTTTTCCCCTTGGACCGACCCGTGACGAGATCCTATTCTCGGGCCCATAACAATCTTCCTTTCAACCTGACTATAGGAAATGTTTTTAGTCTTAACCTAGTACTAACGGGAAAGATAGGAGTGTTGATACACCTTCTCCATGTATGAATACATTTCCTTGGCAATATGAAAACTCCGCATAGGTATTGCAACATTTGTAGTGCTTGAACTAAGAATCTAGGAAACCATGTTTGCATTGTTGACCCTCCATGTTTGTAATTTTTCAACTTCAGTACTATCTAGCTTCTTAATTTTACCATCAACCAGACCTCAAAGCCCCTTCTACATAAAATTGAAAGTGAATTTTCCATAGTATGTAATTTGTTCCATCAAACTTGGCAGGTAGGAATCTAGCTTTTCCATCACAAAATAGTAGAAACAATACAACAAATGAGCAAAGAACAGTTGATAATCAAGTACAACAATGATTCCAGGCCCAAAAAAGGTAGAAACTAAATTTGTCAAGCTAAGGGATCAAAAACAAATTCAGATCACCACAAGACTTAAGGAGAAGGGAAATCAGCCTAGGGCAACACAAAATCTCCAGTTTCAGCCCTAGAAATTCATCAAAATGAGAAAGAACGCAAGATTACCATTCCAGGGGTGTCCTTTTCTAGCAAAAAAGTGACTCCTCTTGTTCAAACCAAAACCCCTTCAGGAAAAATCCTATATCCACGAGATTTTATAGATGTAAAAATGAAGTTAGGGCAACCCAAGATGCAATATCTCAGCCCCAACAGATAAGTTGATCAAGAAAGAGAGCAAGAACACTGATTCTAAGGAAGTTTTTCCCAATAAATGCAATTCACCTCGTACTGATCAAAACAATCACAAAGAGAACCCTTTAACAACTCCAACAAGTCAATTTGAAGGCCCCAATCACAGTCTTAACAACCAAGATGTTTTCATAGGAAGTGAGGTCAAACTTGTTCTGATACCATGTTAGAGCAGTTCAAACGACACTAAGTTGAATCAGGTGTGTATTTTCATCCACCCAGAAAAGAACATATTATATTAACTCTAAATAGTGTGAAACGACAATTATGCCCCTTACAAACAAGAGAAAATACAAATACAAGGAAAAAAGGAGAAATTACAACAAGATAAGATACAGGCAATGTACAATATAAACATTGTCCCATCACCCCATTTCTACATGTTCATCATAATCTTCATATCTTGAAGGTCTGAAACACATACACAAAGCCTCTATGAACTCCGACCAGCTAACCTGAAGATGAGTTCGGCTTCAGTCAGTGCAAAGCCCGTTCAAACAGCCTTTACAGCCTTGCATTGAGAATATCTCCGTACTTCTGTGCTTTATTTCATAGGGAGATATTCCCAATGTAAGGTTGCAAGAGGTTGTTCGAACGGTGTGAGCACAGGCATGCAGACTGAAGTGAATGGAGGCTATGGCAACTCTTCCCTGAGGATGGGACCTTCTATACCACTAAAAGCACAAAACCACCTCTCCACCCAAGTGAATGGAGGCTATGGCAACTCTTTGATGCTCTGGTGTCTCATGATACTCAAATAACCTCTGCACCTTGAAGATCCAAGGGGTTGTATCACCACTAGAGTAAGTAGGGAAATCAGCCTTTGTTACCTTCCCGTGTGGTGGAGCTCCCATTTGATAACTGTTGTGGTTGGATCCCTCTGTATTACCAGCCTTAAGTTCCAAGGTCACCTGGTTGAGGGTTAACCTCCATCTGGTTGATCCAATCTACAATGGTCGATCTGGTCTGAGGCATGGGTGCCGTTCAGGCTCTAATACCAATCTGGTGAGTACTGCTCACCACAAGAGCCTCTTCGAGGGAGACTCGGCCTCCTGAACAACTGAAAGAGAAGAGCCGGAGGGATTGTCTAAAGACTAGAATTATTTGACCATTTCTCCTATACTGATTGTTGGAGGGATTGGTTATCAGTAGCAAGTTGTTCCTCCTCCAAGGTAAGGGTATTGACTAGCTGGGTCCCCCCTCCTCCCGGTTCACTGAAGCTGAATTTTGATGGGAGCAGCCAGGGTAACCCGGGTCCCTCTAGGTTGGAAGGTGTACTGAGGAATGAGGTTGGAGAGGTTGTCTTACTCTACTTTGGCCCATTAGGTGTTGGGAACTCTATCGGGCAGAGTTGTTAGCTGCAATACAAGGAATACTTCTTGCAAAAGAAATGGGTGTGGAGCAGCTTCTGATTGAAGGGGACTCTAAGACAGTGGTGGACTGATTAAATAATGCGGAGGATGTCACCTCGCGCCCATGGTTTAAAATGTCCCTAATTTCCCTAATATTTCCACTTCCATGGGTAGCGGCACGAAATTTTACAAGAATCAACATTTCCCCAATGAACATTACCAGCACCATGTGGAGTACAACAAATAGTTAACATGACATGTTTCCATTTCCACTTCCATAGGTAGTGACATGAAATTTTACTAGAATCAACATATTCCCCAGTGAACACTACCAATACTATGTAGAGTCCAAGAGATAATATTATAACATAAGGTGGCACACTATTGTAAATATGTTAAGTAACAATATTATTGTCCACCTAACTTACATGATTACCACTTTGAGAAGGCTCAATATTCATTTCAAACATGAAATTAAATATTAGTTTTTTGTTTGTATAATACATTATTTGGTTGGTCTATTACAATCATTTACATTTTCTATGAGTTAAATATTTTCTTGCTCTGAATCTTGAAGTTCACAAGGCAACTTCAGAACGTATTCTTTGTCTATAACCTTAGTTTCTTAGCTTTGTTTAATGATTTGCAACAAGATACTAATTTAAAAAGGTGTGCCTATCCTTCTTTAATCATTTCATAAAACATCTTTCTATATTTTGCATATTTTAAAATGTTTCCACCATGTTTATAATTTTTTTTGAATAATAATAAGTTTATTGATTCAGAAGCAACTTTAGAGTGAGTTCATACATCATCCCAACGA